ATTTATTATGCATTTATTTCACGACAAAATGCGTCTTCTTTCTCCATTTTACCGTCTGTGACATAAATAATAAATGTAAATAAATCAATAGTTATGCTTTGAATCTCACAAATGTACTTTATTCATGAGCCAATCAAAAATCAAAAAGGTTTTTGACAATATTCGAGCATTTATATTGTATAAAAGAAACACTCATATCAAAGCAAAGGATTCTATAACCGTGAATTTATCTTGAGAAGAATTTCGTAAAATATAAAATAAGGCTTCCACGGTCCAAAGCTGAGGTTTATCGTTTCAAAGCAAATATTTTCTTAGCGCGAGTCTTTTGAAGAGTACTGCGTGTAAGGGCGAATGTGATCTTTGTTTAATAGTTAATGTAGGTTATTGTTTGAGCCAAAGAGAGAATATTTAAATTAATTTTACATAAGCCATTACGCCTATTTATCTCCGAAGGGGTAGGCAGAGGTGCATATTACAAAACTTAATGTCGTTATACAATGCAAGACTGCACGGTTGGTGCGGTGGCTGGGCAACCGGCTGCCCGGGTTCGATTCCCGCACGGAACAACACTTTGTGTGATCCACAAATTGTTGTTTTTGTTGTTTCGGGTCTGGGTGTCATTGTGTATGTGAACTTGTATGTTTGTGAACGCACCCACGACACAGGAGAAAATCCAAATGTGCGGCGACGTTTAAAAAAAAAAAAAACAAGACCCACTTTTCACCATTTACATATGTAATGAGTCCCATGTAATAGGGGGTGAGTGTATTGCCATAACGGGCACAATTCGAGACTCCGTGCTAATATTAAGATTTTTTGAAAAAGCCCAGTTATACTTTGCCCGACCCAGGAATCAAACCCGAGACCCCTTGCCCGGCAGTCAACGCGTTCGTTTTATTATACAGAATCAAATAAATAAGTAATGAAACAGAAAACTCTCCTTTACTTTGTTTGGCCATTATTGTAAAAATCAAAGCCTTTCTCTTAACGCTACAAGTTAATTAAGAATTTCAAGTTAAGCCTTTTACGTTTATATGTTATGAGTCCCTGAGCCTATTGCCATATACCGTAATTTCTAATTATAAGATTGAAATCGCCAACCCGCGCTGAACAAGTGTGGTGATTAATGCTCAAACCTTCTCCGTGTGAGAAGAGGCCTTTGATCGTCACTTATAGGCTGTTGATGATAATATACTGGATTTACCATTACTTGAGTATGTATTATAATATGCCTGATTATTTTAGATTCGCGATTTGGAACCTCTTTGTTACTACTGTAACAAACAGTCATTGAGTCAGTATTTTTTTAAATCATAATACTTACATTGTTTGAAAAAATGTATATAACTAAGCAAGATAGGTTTAAAACGTCTTCAATCCGATTAAAACATTTCAGTATCCATCTTGTCATAGTAATATTCTCATCTACATACAATTTTCTATAAACACATTGTTAAACACTGAAAGAGAAAAGGAAACGTTGTTTAATTAATCCTTATTAATTAAAATTCCGAAGTGTAAATGCTTTATATCTCTTTTAGTACGTATAAGAATAACAATTAAGTTGCAATTGCTCATTTGCAAAAAATAAAGAAAAAAAATTGTAGATTTTCTTTTACAATAATGCTTTTCCAATGTTAAAATTACTTCTTTTGTTTCAGATCCGGTAGTGCTGTGGAAAATGTAGTGATGTACCTAATCATGTGGCCGTGATATCGATAAATACCGCGTTCCATTTTTTGAATTATTAAAATGTTCGTTTAGTGTAGATTAAAGTTTATGTTTAATTAAATATGGATGTGGTACTTTCACGTGTTTGTCGATAAAATGAAAATGAAGTGGTATATTTTAGTGTTGTTATGTTTAGTTGAAGTTGGTGTTTCGTTGTCTCAAAACTGTCGAGGTGAAAAGCCGAGGCTTCGCGATTGTGACAACGTGTGCGATAAGGATGGAAATTGCAAGATTCGGGCAGCGTTAATGTTGCCTAAGAATACGACTTACGATGCCTGCTTATCTGTTGTGAGTATATTCTAGTGATAAATTTATGTTTTAGTAATACTAAATATTTGATTGTAAATACTAATTCACTTCCACTTGTTAAAAAACGTACAATTCAACAATGGTTCCACAAATAACTTAAATGGTTTAATTTAAATGTAAAAGATTTTACTGGATAGGAAAGTGCATAACAATTTGTCAAGGACTTTGTTTTGCATATACTGTTATATTTAAAAATATGATATCACAAGGATTACCAGTTCCACAGCTGTACTCTTAACTAAATTTACCTTATCATCCATTTCTATTTATAGCTAATGGAAACGGGAGTACGCACTATACGTTTTTAGATTAGATCCGAGTAAATTCGATAAACTAGATAACAATATTTCACATTCTATTATGAGGAACGCGGCCAACACGAAATCTTTTCATCAATTCGATTATTTTTTTGTCGATATAACGATAAATCGATAGTGTCATGGCGCCTCACTATCTATTTGGGACGATGTTGCAATAGCGTTACATAAAATATTTTTTTAATGACCTAATAACATTATTTCTTCCTACTTGAGATTGTGTTAAATATAGGTACCATAGGTAAGTATAGTACATGGAGGGACTACAAAAGATTCAAATTCAAATCGTTTATTGCCAATATATGGCAAGTGTGTATGGCCAATATAGTACATAGTTATTATGACATTATTTGATCAGTTACCTTCTGCTATTAAGCGTGCAATATTAACATAGCACATAACATAACATCACGCCTTTATCCCCATAGGGGTAGGCAGAGGTGCACATTATGCCACTGTACAATGTAACACCCATTTTTCACGTTATGAGTCCCATGTAATAGGGGGTGAGCCTATTGCCATAAACCAGGCACACTTCCAGACTCCGTGCTACTACTGAGTATTTTCTAAAAACCCAGTAATACTATGCCCGACCCGGGAATCGAACCCGAGACCCCTTGCCAACTCGGCAAGGGCCAACACACTCGGCCAACGAGGCAGTCCATGCTCCGTGCAATATTGTGTTGTGACAAATACAATTCTCTAAAAAATATATTTTTAAATACTACTTACAAAATAAAATATAATATTTAAAAATATAAAAAATAGGAGCGGATCAGTGGCGGGAGCATGGTCCAAGCTACCGGTGGTTAGGGCTCCAGAGACAGAAACCTCCTCACGTTTTATTTATTACATTCTTAAAATTAGCCATGACAGAGGACTTGCCATAGTCTCCATGCCTCCCATGGCCATGAGATCGCAGTTTAAAAGGTTTCAAGCTTTACAGAGGGCGCTACTGCCCGGTATCAGTCAAATGTATAGCTTGTTAGTCGATTTTTACGACATCTGTGGAATGAATAAGAATGGAAACGAAAATGTATTTTACTCTGGGTCACCTGGCGACAAAATGAAGGGCTTTATTATTAAATGAATTTACACAAATTCCAATATAACCTTTTCTGAGATGCTCAAACGAGACCGAAAGATGTCAATAAACAAAACCCGGAAGGATTTATCGTGGATTGTCACGTATGGTTCATATGTAAGCCACGTCAAGTCAAGTCGAGGCGAGGCGAGGCGTTAGCTTTGTATTATTCCTTCTGTGACGAAACACTACGTGACAAGAACTATTGATACATTTTCACAAAATCCCCTATTTTGAGAAATAAATATCCATCTTTAGCCTGACAATGGGACTTGGGAAGAATGTCGGATCATCCATTCTGGGGTGCGGCGTGTGAATGACAGTTGTCTTGAAGGATATTGGCTTTGAATTGATTCTGAATTGAACTATGCTCAGTCAACCAAGATTGGTATGAATTTGTAATCGTGTTCGTGACTGGTATAAAAATGATTTTGTTTGACCTATTTATAAACCTACTGCGTTAAAGAAACTTGCTACATTTTCGCATTTTAGTTTTATCAAAATCATTTAAAAAAATATTTCAGAATATATAAAAGATTTACTTGTTATTTTCATCTTATCGATAATTTATTGTCAACAAAGCTTGAATTCTGTCAATAGAAAAGGCAATAGAATCTCTTCTATTACTTCTACGCTCATAAAATAACATTGCACAAATATATAGTTATTTGAACTTGTGCATTTTCATTCAAAGCTTTTACATATTAAAAGGTATAATGTTAAAATAACCCTAAATCGGAATTTCCAGTTCATGCCATCTATTTGCTTACCCTCACAATACATATGTCGTCAAATGGCCGACATTCGTAACATTGGCGTAGAATTTACGCCACGTTTTTTACACCTGAAATCAAGGTTTGCACAGATCACTATTCCTTTGCGCTGAAAAATGTCCCGACCGTACTGAATCTGTAACAAACCGCAGGTTTCGTGTGTAAGGTGGCCATAAATCTTCGACAAGAAATGTAGTGTGGTTTTTAAATTTATTTCCGATTCGGGTTTTCCGGTATCTGTAGATTAGTGATCACTTTGCTTCGTTGGTTGTGAGTACGTGTAAAGTATTGGGATAGACTCGCTACAGAAACAGAGCAAAGAGAAATATAAATACTACGATGTCGAAAAAAGTATTAATCAACCGATAAAAAGAGAAAGAAAAAATTATAGAAAAGTTTTATTTAACTTCGGTTTAAATTTTTATTCAGGCACTCTGTTTTCTGGAGCGGACCACAAAATAGATATAGTGTAACCGACATTGTTCTGTATGCATATCCTGATTAATCCCCTATATCCCCTACAAAACAATAGTCTGCAATTTCCACCACGCTTCAAAATTCCAACCTGGAATCAGTTTTGACTTCAGACATTCAAGTCACGTAGGAATACATTTCCTATCGCATGGTCACTTCGCTACAAAAGCACGAAAACCCCTTTGAGAGCTACCTCAGCACGGTGCTATGCAAACGTTTGAAGTTAGTATTTGTGAAAGAAGAACCAGACTTTATAAGTGGAATACTCTTGAGATTTGTAATTGAGAATCAAGGTTTTTATGGCATAAACGTAAACGAGGCGGATCACCTGATGGTATGCAATCGGCGCCACCCATGGACACCCAGTGGCGTGCACAAGGTTTTAGAACAGGGTAGGCAACATAATATTGTATTATGATTAAACTCATCGTAAATACATAACATAATTCAACTTATGAGGTTTTTAATCTTTCGTCAATTCTTTGTAACAGTGCCATCTCTCGTTGTTTTCGTGAAGTATTACATCAACTTATTGATTACTCTAACAACTTAAAAACATTAATATTCTATTTTTCTCTTTAGATTTGTAAAACTAATCTGCATAATTACCTACTCGAGGTGCTGTATAACGATTAATCTAATTTATGTTATC